TTTTCTGAAGAAGGGTCTAGGCCCGAAACGTCAGCTTTCCTGCTCCTCTGATGCTGCTTGGCCTGCTGTGTTCATCCAGCTCTACACCTTGTTATCTCAGATTCTCCAGCATCTGCAGTTCCTACTATCTTTCCCATTCAACCTCTTGGTGTTTTTGGTTGGATTATAGCTGATTTTCTCCTGCAATTCCATTTTCATGCTGTTGCTCTGTGTCTTTTTCTGTACTGCTCTTTCTGTCAGTCATAAATTTCATTTGGTGCAGCATTGTACTGAGCTGTAAATTTCCATTACCTTTTTATGTGAAGTTGTGCTTCCTGATTTTACTCAACAAATAAGTTTGACGTTCGAGATTATAGCCTCATAGAGTCATACAGATATGCAGCATGTAAACAGGCCCTTCAGTCCGTTTCGTTTAGATCATCCCTTTTGACCTTGTAAACACGAGGGACCACAAACCAACTTCATGCAACATGTCCCAGTAATATTGTTAAGCTCTGATATGATTTTGATAAATCAACGTTCTAATCTTTAAAGGATAGTAGAGCCTTCATTAGAATCAGTGCCCAAAATTGAGTGAACAGTTTAAATGGGTTCTGAATAATGCTTTCCATAACTTAAATATGCTTTATTCATTTCTGTGTTTCAAATCATGTTCCAATAAAATAAAGTACTACAGATACTGGAAATTTAAACAAAAAGGGCTGTAAATACTCATCGGGCAATAATTTTCTCTACATACAGCCAGACCTGCTAAGCATCACTTACATTCCAGTACCTTTTTATTTAACTACCTTTGTACCTTTTGATATTTGTTTATAAAATTTGCATTACTTTCTGACCAACGTGCAAATTAGCAGTAGGGGTTTGCGCTTGAATTGGCTCTGCCATTCAGTAACTTATAGTTGATTCTCCTTTACACACTTAGTCTATTGTCATTAAGAGAGAATCCTGACTTCTTATTCCTATGATGTCCAGTAGATAAACTCCTATTTCCTAATATTGAGCATCATCTGTCATAATTCCTTTTCATTCACTAATTTTGTCTGTGTCCCTTTTGTAACTCCCTGCTTGCGTCTGCATAACGTGTGGTTCCTACTGTGTATCATCTGGAAATTTTACAGTGCCCTTTGCTTCATTTCTAGTAATTAGTATGTAGTGAAAAACGAAGACCATTACTCCTTTTGTGAGACATGATAATATTATCAAGCAAAACATTAACTCGGAATTCTGACTCTCTCTTTTTCTTTTACCATCTAAACAGCAACAAACCTTACTTTGGATTATTTCCTATTCTTTCTGCTTTATTACTGAAGGGAAATGCTAACTTAGGGCAAGTTATTTCTATAAATAAGTGGCAGGGACACAGTTTTAATTACTCGATTTCTGTTAATGTTCATTTAGCTGATTTGATATGTTTCGATCAATTATTGTCATTGCTGTCATGTTTTCCATTATGTTAGAATCTGATAAGGAGTGACAGAGTTGTGATGCTGCATTCGTTTACATCACAAGTATAGATAAATTGTATAATATTTTGACTGAGATACCAAGGTATAGAGCTGGATGAACACAGCAGGCCAAGCAGCATCAGAGGAGCAGGAAAGCTGACGTTTTGGGCCTAGACCCTTCAGAAATGGGGGAGGGGTAGCGGGTTCTGAAATAAATGGGGAGAGGCGGGAGGCAGATAGAAGATGGATAGAGGAGAAGATAGGTGGAGAGGAGACAGACAGGTCAAAGAGGTGGGGGTGGAGCCAGTAAAGGTGAGTGTAGGTGGAGAGTTAGGGAAGGGATAGGTCAGTCCAGGGAGGATGGACAGGTCAAGGGGGCGGGGTGGGGCTTGAGGTGGTAGGAGGGGATAGGTGGGAGGAAGGACAGGTTAGGGAGGCGGGGACAAGCTGGGCTGGTTTTGGGATGCGATATGGGGAGGGGAGATTTTGAAGTTTGTGAAGTCCACATTGATACATTAGGGCTGCAGGGTTCCCAAGCAAAATATGAGGTGCTGTTCCTGCAACCTTCAGGTGGCATCGTTGTGGCACTGCAGGAGGCCCAGGATGGACATGTCGTCTGAGGAATGGGAGGGGGAGTTGAAATGGTTCGCGACTGGGAGGTGCAGTTGTTAATTGCGAACCAAGCGTAGGTGTTCCGCAAAGCGGTCCCCAAGCCTCTGCTTGGTTTCCCCGATTGTAGAGGAGACCACAATGGGAACAGCGGATACATATACCACATTAGCAGGTGAACATCTGCTTGATGTGGAAAGTCTTGTTGGGGCCTGGGATGGGGTTGAGGGGCAGGTGTAGCACTTCCTGCGGTTGCAGGGAAAAGTGCCGGGTGAGGTGGGGTTGGAGGGGAGTGTGGAGCGGACAAGGGAGTCCCAGAGAGAGTGGTCCCTCCGGAAAGCAGCTAAGGGTGGGGAGGGAAAAACGTCTTTGGTGGTGGGGTCGGATTGCAGACAGCGGAAGTGTCGGAGGATGACGCGTTGGATCTGGAGGTTGGTGGGATGGTACGTGAGGACGAGGGGGATTCTGTTTTGGTTGTTATTGCGGGGAGGGGGTGTGAGGGATGATTTGTGGAAATGCGGGAGACATGGTCGAGGGCGTTCTCGACCACTGAGAGGGGGAAGTTGTGGTCCTTGAAAAACGAGGACATCTGAGATGTTTGGGAGTGGAATGCCTCACCCTGGGAGCAGATGCAAAGGAATTGGGAATAGGGGATGGCATTTTTGCAGGAAAGTGGGTGGGAGGAGGTGTATCCTAGGTAGCTGTGGGAGTTGGTGGGCTTGAAATGGATATCGGTTTCCAGGTGGTTGCCAGGGTTGGAAACAGAGGTCCAGAAAGGAGAGGGAGGTATCAGAGATGGTCCAGGTGAACTTAAGGTTGGGGTGGAAGGTGTGGGTGAAGTGGATGAACTGCTCGAGCTCCTCGTGGGAGCACGAGGCGGCGCCGATACAGTCATCAATGTAGGAGGAAGAGGTAGCCTCATCCCGTCCCTTTGACCTGTCCGTCTTCCCTGGACTGACCTATCCCCTCCCTAAGTCCCCGCCTACACTCACCTTTACTGGCTCCAACCCCACCTCTTTGACCTGTCTGTCTCCTCTCCACCTATCTTCTCCTTTATCCATCTTCTTTCCGCCTCCCCCTCTCTCCCTATTTGTTTCAGAACCCCCTTTCCCTCCCCCATTTCTGAAGAAGGGTCTAGGCCTGAAACGTCAGCTTTTGCTCTTCTGATGCTGCCTGGCCTGCTGTGTTCATCCAGCTCTACACTTTGTTATCTCAGATTCTGCAGCATCGGCAGTTCCGACTACCTGTGAAATAATATTTTGACTGGGTGTTTTTTCCCTCTAACTTCCATTTTGGTGTCTCCTTGTGGCCAGAAGAATCTTAAGTTGTTCATCTGCTGTTGAGCTCCCTGCTCGGAACTGACAGCAACACAATGCTGCCTGCTTTCCCATTGTTTAGAACAGAAACTGAGCGAAAGATTAGACTTATATTTCACACCACTCATGATGTGTGTTTTAATGTTTTGATGTCCAGACCCGAAACGTCAGCTTTCCTGCTCCTCTGATGCTGCTTGGCCTGCTGTGTTCATCCAGCTCTACACCTTGTTATCTCAGATTCTCCAGCATCTGCTACTACCTCTGTGTCTAATTTATATCGTTTTTTTTCATTTTGAGGGATTAATTTCTCCACCAGGGCTCTTCCCTGGGGCCCCAAATATAAATACATACCTGAGGTAATTCAGAGCTCCATTTTCTGTGTCAACATTCAGGTTATCTTTTGTCTTTACCAAGCTCCCTCGGTTTGCGGTGACCCAGTGAGAACTTTTATCTTTTGTCATCGAATTCTTTCCAAAGCATTGCTCAAGTTTGCTTGAGCACTCTTGATCAACTGTATTCTTTGTCCCTCTGACTTAGGGATACTATTCCTTGCTAATACCACACCTTTGCAACAGAGCATTGCAACTTTTCTTTCTAAATAACATCATGTGATCTGGACACTTTTCTTTCCACTTTTGTTCCAGCCCTGCTATCCCTGTTTCTATTTCCTTTTCTCCTACTTTAAATATGCAATATTTCAGTAAATCTAAAAGAAAAGCGAATGAATTATGAAAATATGAAACAATGTCTCAAAGCTGTTAATGAAGTCATTTGGGATATTTAAAAAGGAGCTGTATATTTCAGCAGTATTAGTATTAAGATATGGACAAAAGGCAGGTATTGAGAATTAAGTATCAAGCTGTCAGGCATAACAGAAATAGCACAGTAGGAATGGTTCTTGTCTAAAGATTCCAATTTTGTGAGATTTTTTTTTGAGGGAATTATTTATAAATTATTAATTGAAAAAATGATTTGTTTTAGCTCTAGGGCTTGCAAGGTCCAATGAGGACCAATGATTACATTTGGTGTTTAATTTTGACATTCAACAAATTAGTTAAAAATACTTGTAGTTATAGTTATCATGAGGCCTTATTTTCCCGTCCTGTTGTCATGCATTGTCTGTGACATTGCTTGACTAATTTTAATAGTTAATTTAGTGAAGTTTCGTCACACAAATGTTGTTAAAATGCAGTAGCCCAGTTGACAAAAATCTCTGAAACAAAATTTCTCAAACAATTTTGGTTTGTGAACCCTCTCATTATGAATTTCACACTGTATAACAAAATGAGGAAAATAATATCTTTAATTTAACAATATTAAACTTAGTTATTTTCTCAAAACACTTCCTTTTTTTTCCAGAGTCCTTCAAGTACCACCCCTCCAATAGAGATCAGCACAAATCGTTTAATGAAACTAACTCGGGTAAAGTCAGATAAGAAGAGTGAGTTTCTGAAGGCACTGAAAGATGACCGGAGTGATGAAATCTCAGAACATAGAGACTTCGACAAATTAGAAGTTAGTAAAGTAGCTGGTTTCCACTTCTACACTTCAGATTAAATGTTTGTATTTTCCGCTGCAGACATTTGCTTACTTAGTCGGGTTTGGTCACATGAGCCACACTGAAGAATTAAAATTCTTTCCTGCTAACATTAATGACATTGAACAGATTTTCAGGTTAGGGCACCTGGGTGCAAACTATATATTCTTAGACCCTTTGGGAATCCTGCTGCCCCATAATGCTGGCACATTGGCAAAGAGGTCAAACAATTTGTTTTTGTTACCAGGGTAATGGGGATTTTTAAAATATATTTGTGTGCAGTTGATTGGAAAATATTGGTGATACCCCTAAGTGACAGTCTGAAATCACCTAGCTAAAGTGAAGGGTCATTATGGGCCTTAAATCAAGTTGCAAGATGTAACAAGCACCATTTCCAGGTAAACTGTTTGTCCTTTTATGCCCTCTTATCCTTCAGTTGCCAAGCCAAACTGGTGGCTTCATTTTACTTCTCAGCCCCTTGTTTGAAAAGCAAAGGCATTGGGAAATGAAATTAGATGAAAATTATAAAGTCAAACATGACATTGTAATGCCATTTCTTCCTTATTTGTGTGTGCCAGCTGGTAATGACACCCGATAATCTAAGGGGATTTCAGAAAATGATGAAGGCACAATAGTGTTCTGAATTAGCAATTTTTTAAATGACTTGGAGATGGCATTCACTGGTCACTGTGGAGAGAGCAGCAGTTGAAATAATCTTGAGTTGTTGCAGTGCATCCTAGATGGAGAGAGCGAGAGAGTATGTATGAGTGTATATTCTCCAAGTTTAGCTAAGAAGTCCAGTCCAAGGACATGAATTGAATGTACACCTTTTGCTTGGACGGGTTTGTGATGTTCCAGTATTGTGGTTGTTCCCATGCAGGAAGTAGTGAACATTCCATTGTAGTCCTTAGTACAGCTGTGTAGATGGAGAATTCTTGAAGGGTCAAGAGGTGAGCTACTTATCAGTTTTTCTTAATCATTTTTATACGTTTCTTTTCGTTGGTATTGAAATAAATAATTGCTGATGAGCTTTACATTTCTTATTGGGAGTATGCTATTTCATGACTGATGCTACGAAACTTTTAGAAATGCATTTTCCTGTTTTGAGGTCAATTATTGATCACTCTGCTATTTGGGGGGCCTCCTGGAATTTAGATCTTGCCCTGAAGAATTCAAACTCATTTATAACTTGTCTTGTAAGTGGCACCACTTTTTCTACCTATAGGAAATCGTGATGTTGCAAGATTAGTGTCAAGGTACTGCTTTGTGGCAGATCTGTAATTACGAATACAAATATTCCAAAGTAGGGTCACTGGACTGGAAGGATTACCTCTGCTTTATATCCATAGATATTCCCTAATCTGCTAGGTTTTTCTAGAAATTTGTCTTTTAGGAGCAGTTTAAACAAGACTAAATCTAGTATAATGGGACAGGATTAATTTGTTACCTGAAAATAAGGACACGTCTAGGTTGCATCAACTACAATGTGAAGGGGAGTCTGCAGGTGTCGAGCAGCAATGTATAATGAGAATCTCAGCGTAGACTTGGTGAACTTTGGAACCAAGTTCTGAACGTAACCTGAATGAGTAAAAATGCCTGGTAAATATATTAAAGCAACAATTTTATTGTATATAATAAAATGATTATCAAACAATTCTAGATGATAAAAGAATATAGAAGGAAAGATGCATTTTCTTTCAATTAAGTTACTTTTTCTGTATACTACATAAAATAAAAAGGAAGGAAAAAATGCAACTTTATTACAGCATCAACATTGAACTGATTGGTCTACCGACAATCCAAAATGGTAAAGTAAATTCAAATTAATTTGTCCATGACCATTCTAAAAATTATAAATGGCTTGGCACATATGTTTGCAAGTGTCCAAATAGCTTTTCAAAGGGTCCTTTTGCTCCATCAATGTCCCTTTCCTCCATAGTCTTTCGTAGTTAACTGTTGACCACTCGGCTGCAGCAAGAAATTCTGAAACAATGTGCTTTTAAGCTAAATTTCTGGCTCCATTCCAGTTTTTCAGTGCTTCCACCCAGAGTCTCTTGAAACAAAAAGTCTGAACAAACGGAGTTATATCTCTCCTGCATCTAGCAAAACTTGAATGCTTCGTAAAACTTGCGTTGTTGACCCATCTTGGACAACATCTCTTAGATGTACATGGTCCGTCAATCGAACACCATTTTATTGATCACCCTTATAAGGTTGTGTAATTCAAAGATCATTGGGGTCAATACAGTAAGGACAGTTCCTCTTTTTAAACCATGAAACAAAAACTTTGAGTATCTAGGGGGAAAATTACAAGTAAGAGCTGTAAAAGATATCCCGGAAAACAGGGCCAATAACTATGGTTAGAAAATTATCGCAGCTGATTGCATAATTGATCAGTTTTGACAAAGCACTTTCTTTGGTTCAAGTAATCAGTACTTAGAATGTAGAAATTCAGTTCAGGTTTGCTGAAAGATCAAAAGTGGTGCAGAAATGAGGTACAAAAGGTAAAATTGTACCAATTTGTGATTTTCAGCTGTAGGCCTTCAAGTGATGTCAACAGGTAGCATAAGCACCTAACTGCATTAAAGGTGTTCTCACAGGCAACACGCTAGGAGGTTAAAAGCACTAAAACATTGGGATTTTTTCCAGACCTGGAGCGGCTGATCTTGCCTCGTTTCTGTGCAGCTCCCATTCACCTTTTACATCCCTGCAAAATTAGATGGACATAGTTACTGTGGGGATTGGGTATTTATGGTGAGGGGTCTTATTACAGGGCAGTCTATGGAGTGTTGGACAAACTCAATGGGAAGGGGTTGGGGTACTGCTTATGTCACTGGACTACAAATCCAGAAAGCCAGGATAATGTCCTAGGGACATGAGTTTGAATCCCACTGCATCAGGTGGTGAAATTTGATTTCAGTAAAGATCTGGAATAAAAAGCCCATCTGTTGGTGCCAAGCTAGCTGTCAACTGTTTTTTTAAAAAAAAAAAAATCTGGTTTGCTAATGTCTTTTAGGGCAGGAAAACTGACAAAGGGAAAAAATCACCCCTGTAACTCTTTCCCTCACCAGTTGCTGCAGACTATTTCCAGAATTTCCTATACTCTGTACTTTTTTTTGTGGAGTTAAAAGTACTGAATCCCTTCATTTTTTAAAATTCAGGTTATAGATAGCAACAAGTGATTAGGATTGAAATCGAACTACGATAGTAGCTAAAATACAGAATTTTTTTAATGGAAATGTATTGGCCCAATATTTCCAATGACCAAATAGTAATTTCTGGAGCTTGGATTGGAGTTGCACGCTGAGACCATGTGGAAATTCCAACACAACTTACTGAAGTATTAACCTAGGAAAATAAAATGTGCAATTAACAATTTCCGTGTGTTTGGAATCCTCAAAGTTCCTAAAACTCAAATTTTCCCTAGAAATTGGAAATTTCTGAGGGTTGCATCACATTTAGGCTTAATCATTATCCAGTGATAGCTGAAAGGTTTAAAAAATGGAGTGTAGGATACACCCTTATCTGTATCAATGGTTCTGAGGTGGAGGTGGTTCAGAGCTTCAAGTTCCTAGGAGTAAAGTAAGAAGGCATGGGATTCAGGGATATTTAGCTCTCTGGATGCAAAACTGGCTGTCCAATAGAAAATAGAGGGTGGTAGTAGATGGAAAGTATTCGGCCTGGAGCTCGATGACCAGTGGTGTTCCGCAGGGATCTGTTCTGGGACCTCTGCTCTTTGTGATCTTTATAAATGACTTGGATGAGGAAGTAGAAGGGTGGGTGAGTAAGTTTGCCGATGACATGAAGGTTGGTGGAGTTGTGGACAGCATGGAGGGCAGTTGTTGGTTGCAATTGGACATTGACAGGATGCAGAGATGGATAAAGAAGTGGCAGATGGAAAAGTGTGAAGTGATTCATTTTGGAAGGTTGAATTTAAATGCAGAATATAAGGTTAATGGCAGGATTCTTGGCAATGTGGGGGAACAGAGGGATCTTGGGGTCCACGTCCATAGATCCCTCAAAGTCCCTACCCAAGTTGATAGGGTTGTAAAGAAGGTGTACTGTGTGTTGGCTTTCATTGGCAGGGGAATTGAATTTAAGAACCGTGAGGTTATGCTGCAGCTGTATAAAACTCTGGTTAGACCACACTTGGAATATTGTGTTCAGTTCTGGTCACCTCATTATAGGAAAGATGTGGAAGCTTCAGAGAGGGTGCAGAGGAGATTTACCAGGACGCTGCCTGGACTGGAGGGCAGGTCTTATGAGGAAAGGTTGAGGGAGCTAGGGCTTTTCTCATTGGAGCAAAGAAGGATGAGAGGTGACTTGATAGAGGTGCACAAGATGATGAGAGGCATAGTTAGAGTGGATAGTCAGAGACTTTTTCCCAGGGCGGAAATGACTGTTATGAGGGGGCATAATTATAAGGTGATCGGAGGAAAGGTAATGGGGAGATATCAGAGGTAGGTTCTTCACAGAGTGGTTGGCGTGTGGAATGCGCTGCCGGCAGTGGTATTGGAGTCAGATACTTTAGAGACTTTTAAGCGACTCTTGGATAGCGACATGGAGGATAGTAGAATGTAGGGTATGCAGGATAGTTTGATCTTAGTAGGATAATAAGTCGGCACAACATGGTGGGATGAAGGGCCTGTACTGTGCTGTACCTTTCTATGTTCTTAAATATCACAAACAGTCTACCTTGTCTATTCACATCAACGCTACAGTCAAGAAAGCACAACAACACAGCTACTTCCTCAGAAGGCTAAGGAAATTTGGCATCATAGATGCACCATAGAAAGCATCCTATCCAGATGTATCATAGCTTGGTATGGCAATTGTTCTGCCCAAGAACGCAAGAAATCACAGAATTGCGAACGCAGCCCAGTCCATCACAGAAACCAGCCTTCCTTCCAATGACTCCATCTACACATCTAGCTGCCTTGGGAAAGCAGCCAACATAATCAAAAACCCCTCTCACCCTGGTCATATTCTCGTCCACCCTCTTCCGTTGGGCAGAATGTGTAAAAGTTTGAAAACACCAACAGATTTGAGAACAGCTTCTTCTGCACTGTTATCAGACTTATAAATGATCCTTTCATGCAGAGAAAGATTAACTCCAATGCACCGTCTCTGTAGCTGTAACACTATATTCTGCATTCTGTTCTGTTACCCTGATGTAGTTATGTAAGGCATGATATGTCTAATTAACCATGCAAAACAATACTTTTTATCTTGGTTCAATAATATGACAATGTGACAATAATAATAAATTAAATCAAATAAAAAACCTGCTGTAATTTTTTTTTCCCCAATTCTCAACTAAACCTCCACCTTGATGCCTCTAAAACAGACAGTGCCTCTTTATTAGCATTTTAGTACCAGTGAAGATGTTTAACAATATTATGAAAACCTAGTTGCACCTCATTAAACATTTTCCCAAGATTTATTTTCACTGCAAGACTGTATAAAAGTGGAAGTTCTTACAATTCATTGCTTGGTGATTATACTCAGGAATTTGGGTTTGGGTGTTAAACTGGTGGAATCTCAACGGTGCACTCTCTGAAGAAGTGTAGAATCACGGATAACAGTTTCTACATTTCTTCATAAATCTGCGCAGACACTGGAAATTTCTGTTGATGACTGACCGTTTCACCCAAATTACCACCACAGAATCTGGGTCAGTAACCTGGTCAAAAATAATCTGTTTTCGCACGTCTCATTTGTGCTGATTTAAGTTTTGTACTTGATGATTTGCAGAAGGATTATTGATACTGAAGTTATCATTGATCTTGTTCAAGAATTTAGAACGCAGCTATTTTGAGGGCTGTTGCAGATTTACGGCTACTGTTTGAATAATTCTGTTCCCACCACAGTTGTTCTGTTGCAAATGAACAATACATCGACGTTATGGACCAGACCAAACCCCCTCAAAATATTCAGAAGGTGGTCTGGACCCTAATTTTTTTCTTATTTTAAAGGTCAATGTAAGGTGTTGCGTTCCAGACCCTATTCAGTCGGTCAAACTACCAGATTTAAAGCAAAACATACTTTATTCATAGTTAAAATGCAAAGAAAAAAGGAATTGGAATAACTTAACTCTTGGAATATTTAACAGAATACTAGATATGGTAACTATTAGTAATTAACTGTTCTAATATAGTAATGTCCCATAAAGACACCCTAGGTAAAAAGCAAATCCACAAAACAGATTATCTCGCATGCAACTCCTGTTGCAGGCAGAGAACCTCCAACTTTTGGCTGTACCCAAGTAGGGGAAGAAATAGCTTCCACTTCAAGACCCCAACAGCAACCGCTCAAAGCTAAACTAAAGATCTTGGTTCTGTGGGAGTTTGGCCACACCCATTCAGGCTGCTTCTATTCCAATGTTTTTTGTTGGGGGTGGGAAAAAAACCCCAAGGCCTCACAAGCTTGTTCAGTAGTTCTGGTAGACTGCATGAAACCACCTTTTTTCTTCCAGAACAAAATACCCTCCGAAAGCCACAGCATCATCACGCTGACAGTAAAGCATGAAATTGAAACATTTATTCCTATTATGCTGTGGATTAAAACTATTTCACGTTAGTATGAATCATTTCTTACGATCACATTATAGTGTGGCTTATTTATGCGAACTTTTTGTGTGTACCGTTGGTTAATTGCTGATTGATTCCATTATACGTTTTACCAGTGCTCATTTTAAACCATGTATTTTTTCAGTAATCTGGAAAATGAGTTGGAATTCAAGTGTCACCACTTCAGAATTATTTCCAAAAATAGCGCTGTCCACTTTCTACTTGTACTGTTTGTACATTTACTTGTTTAACTGTTTTTTCTATAGGACTGTGTGCGTAATATTCCAGAAACAAATGAAAACGGGAATGCAAATGGTCATCAGCATAGTCTCTCATTCTGTGGCTCAGAAAAAGATTATCTGTCCAGTTCTCTTGAAGCAGAACATAGGTATAATTATTTTGTATTTTTGTATGAGACTGTTGTGATGAATGTATTTTTGGTTGCCTCCCCAGTTTGGATGCTACAGTAAGTTTCCAAACCTAGATATTGATTTAGTACAGATCCGAGAGGATGAAAGTCTTTTCTGTGTTGACTGTTTGAGCTCCAAGTAAAAATGAATAATAGGCAATTTTAGTTGTTGGGTATAGAGTCACAGAAGACAAATGTCCATAACCTCACCTTGATTGGCACAAATAATCATTCCTTTACAAGCATAAATATACTTGTCATGGCGAGATAAGTATCACTCTGGTGTAGGAGTGATGCTGTTTTTAAGTTGAGTTTGTTCAGTCTACAGCTTGCATTTCTATGGTGCTCATCATGTATAGGAGCATGTTACTAGTTACTTCACTGCAGTTACAAGCTACATTCGCATCACACATTTAATATAACACTGCATCCCAAGGCATGTCACAATTCAGAAGCAAAAACAAACAAGAGGAGAGAAATTGGGCAACAGAGTAGATTTGCTGAAGCTTTAAAGAGTGAGGAATGAGTGAGGCAAATTGAAGAGGTTAGAGTGACTTGCACATTGTAAAAACTAGATTACTGAAGGATCTGACACTGATAGTTAGTGTTTAGGGTCTGTTATTAAACATATTTTGGACTGGAGTGTTTGTTCCCAAGGAAGGAGACATTAGTTGTTGTCATTCAAAAAGGTTGCTGTGATCCCTCTGCGTGTACTCATTTGCACCTCTGACATCACCACATTAGTGTAGTGATAAAGATGTTGGTGCACTTTCAAAAAGTTAGAAACGCACATGATCTTTACTGAATCTTGAAGTTATTACATCTAATAAATGGGTGGACTTTTAATGTCAGTGATCCACTATGAAGTATGGTCAGTCTGATTTCAGCACAATTTTAAAAAAGTCTACTGCCAGAAAATTATTAGTGCTGAGGTATATTGAGGATAAAAAGGACAGCTCCTAAAGGACAAGAGCTAAGTAAGTGACAGTGAAGTACATACGGTCTATTAAAACATTGGGACAAAAACCAGTACAAAATTCTGAACACATTAGGCATGATATGGATGTGCAGGTGTTGGACTGGAGTGGACAAAGTCAGACGTCACATGACACCAGGTTATAGTCCAACCGGTTTATTTGAAATCACAAGCTTTCGGAGCGCTGCTCCGTCGTCAGGTGAAGTGTTCAAATAAACCAGTTGGACTATAACCTGGTGTCATGTGACATCTGACTTTGAACACGTATAGTACTTCGCCTACTCCCATGGACTCATTTAAATGTGTTTCTTTGGCCTTGGTTATCTTACTTGCATCCAGAGTTTTTGTAAAATCACTAAGTGTAAGTTTAAAAGCAACACTCTGGCTTTGTGCATGCACATGTGGTACACCACCCAGTCATGACATGGGCCACAAACACTTGTATTTGGAACAGATTGGTGTAGATTTCCAACTTGCATATGTATGCCTTCCATGTGATTTAAATGAGAGTTGCCTGCATCTGGATGTACTATTTATTTAAGTTACTTATACCACATTTTCCATCTTTATTTTATTTATCCTGTAGCAGTTTTACAGCCAAAAAATTATTTGATTACTAGCAGAAATGCCGTAACTGCAAACTATTGCTGAGAACTGTGGGCTAATTAGAGATATGAAAACAAAACTGCAGGAGAATTTTTCTTCCTGGCTTAACCTTGCCTTTGTCGTTTCTCCCTTCATTATTAGTACATAATTTTTAGTAGTGGTTTTTTAAAGTGCTGGTATGTTATCTCCAACATTGGAGGATGTTTCAGCTGGATTATTCAATCACTCATCTTAGTTAGTGTTCAGCATTTGCACTTTTGTTTGGATTCTTATTTTGGACAATATGCAAAGCTGAATATTGCTAATTGTCAGATCTGTTGGTACAATAATCAGCTGGAAACTTCATTCAGTACTGGGTGAATGGTAGAAAAGTATTGCATTTAAAATGTGGATACTGAAGGCAACAAGGAACATGAGTTCATGTTAAAAATGGCAAAATTTGTTTGAGATATCATGCTGTGAGAGTGGATTTTGCCTTTGATTCTATCTCAGGAAGTTTTATGTTCATTGTTTCTATAAAATGAATTTTAATTTAAGTGAGAATTTTGGGATTACTCAGTTTCATACAAAGTTAGGGTGTAGGATTTATCTTATGAAATTCTTAACACAAGTCTAATCTGTAAAAACAATAGGAGCCAATTTTCTTGGGCCCTGTTGCCTGTCTGAAGTATTCAGTGTTTGCCTTGGCTAAGATCATCTGATTTTAATTTACATGACTTGGTCACACTCTTAGCACAAGATTTCCTGTGAGTAAAATTAATTTCATCAGTCTGCCTAGCTGCTGGCCTTGGAGCTTTCTGGTTTCTGCTGGATTACATTTAGTAGACCAGAAGAGTTAATGATCAACAGACTCAGCGCAAAACTCCCTTCAGCTACTCTTTTAAAGTTCCTACTCTATATCCATGCACCCCTTCCTGTGAGAAATAAACTTTTTCCAGGAGTGGCATTTTAAAAATCCTGTATGTTCCTCTTCGGTCTTGAGTCTGGGAATTTTTCTTTTGAGTGTTCAGCAGCTGATTTAATTTTTTTTTATAGACTATTCAACGTAAAGCAAGATGTCTTAAAAGTCATTATAAACATGGAAGGTCACAGCTTTGTTGATTTTTAGAAACCTTCCTGTGCTTAGTTAATTCATTATCACTACCTTGTTTTATTTATAATAACAGCTCTAATGTAAATATCTTCTTTTTGTGCAGCTAAGTTTTGTTTGCAGGATCACAGTTATCTTTATTCATTTCCGCACAGATTATTGAAAGCAATGGGTTGGCAAGAATGCTCAGAGAATGATGATAACTTCTTGCCTTTGACTGAAGATGAGCTCCAGGAGTTCCAGGCCAGAACTGAGCAGGTATGTATGTGTGTTCTATGCTTTTTTTTTAAAAAAGCACGCAACTATTTATGCTTTATTTGAAATAAAGTAAGCCAGTGTTTTGAATTTCATCCATCACACAACAGTGTTGTTTGCTAGAACCTTATGTAAGATTTGGGATTCACTTTAATCGCAGCAGAACTTGAGCCTGCAATCTTCTGCTAACACTCCACCTCTCACTGAAGTCACATGTCCGTTATCGATTGGGCATATGACCACCTTTTTTGAAGTCACTGTTGAATATTGTAAAAACCCATTTGCAGTGGCGGGATTTGAACCCAGAACCACAGACCATTACCTGAGTCTCTGGGTTACTAGTCCAGCAACAATATCATAATGCCATTTTACCTGAAATCATTTCCATATTTGTTAGTCTAAATTTGTCAGTTTAAACCATAAACCCTCAACCTTACTTTTGACCTGGGCCATAAGACTCCTTTTCAGAAAATGTTTTACAACTAATCACAATCAAATAAAACACAATTTAATTCCACACTTGCTTAATTGAGAAGTAGAAGTGCTCAAATAGAAATTACTAATTATTGAAAAATAACCTAATCCTACACTTAAGTTATGTTTCAACTGTCCTACGTCTCAGCTCCACAAATGGCAAATTTTAATCTTCTCTTTGGATCTCTTTTGCCATGCACAAATGCACCATATGTTTCTTTCATGTCACTTGAGCCAATCCATTAAATAAATGTTCAAGTTGTTGCTATCATAGACATAGAACAAGTAAAACCTATCCAATATTTCCTCACATCTCAGACCCTTCATCCCAGGCAGCATCCTGATACATGTTAGTCTGTATCCTTTTGTATCCACTATTCAAGTTGTGATCTAACCAGCTTTTAATGCAGTTTCTGCATGATCTCCCTATGCCTCAAATAATAAAGGCAAGTATCCTGTATGCCGCCTTAACAATTTATCTACCTGCCATATTACCTTCAAGGATCGGTGGATGTGCACACCAAGGTCCTTCTGATCTTCAGTATTTTACTTTCCAGGGTTCTACTATTTATAATATCAACCTTATGCCTTGTTAGTCTTCCCCAACTACATGACCTCACACTTTTAATAATTAATACCATCAGCATGGATGGGCAAGCTGAATTTAGTACAGAATAAGATACAGGCAGGCAAGTTTTTAATCAGCTGATCAAGATTCACCAAGACACATTGGAATAATCGAGTCTGGAAATGACCAAGGCATCCTTTGAGGGTTTCCGCAGTAGAAAGATGAAAATAGCAATGGCATTGTTACAGAGGTGAAACTGATTCGTTTTATAACGTTGAATATAAATAGTTAGAATCAGAAGAGCAAAACTAACGGGGAGCATCAAAGAATGATGATAGGAGCAAGAACTCAAATAGAGCAAGACTAGTCAGAAGCAAAAAAGAGCGGGGGGGGGGTGGAAAAAAAGCAGAGAGAGAGAGATATCAGATTGAGGTTTTTTTTAATTCATTCACGGATGAGGGCATCGCTAGTTAGGCAGCATTTATTGCCTATCCGTAATTGCACAGAGGACAGTTAAGAGCCAACCACGTGGCTGTGGGTCTGGAGTCACGTAAGGATGGCAGTTTCCTTCCCTAAAGGACATTAGTGAACCAGATGGGTTTTTCCTGCCAGTCGACAATGGATTCATGGTCATTATTAGATTCTTAATTCCAGATATTTATTGAATTCACATTCCACCATCTGCCATGGTGGGATTTGAACCCGGGTCCCCAGAACATTATCTGGGTCTCTGGATTAACAGTCCAGCGATAATACCACTAGGCCATCACCTCCCTATATGGAAGTATAAAAACATTGGTAACAGCAGAACTAGTGAAGAACATAAAGGTTTACAAGTGCAATAATGTGAAAAGCAGGGAGCATAAAAAAACTAGCAGATTATTTCAGTAGTAGAAAGAAAAATGAAGTAATAAGAGAAAATTGGCAAGATATATAAAAACAAACAAGTTTACACAGCTATGTGAAAAGAACAACAATTAGTCAACTAGATGAGACTGGAGAAATAATAATGGCAAATGAGAAAATAACTGAAGCTTAGACCAGGATTTTGTGTATGTCTTCAGACACAATAGAAGAAACCAAAAGCATCCCAAGAGTAGTTGTAAATTTAGAGGAAAAAGTGAGCAAGGAACTTCAAGCGATTTCAGAAATTGGGGAAATCTAATGAGACGAGAGACTGATAACTCTGCTATTCCTGATGGTGTGCAATCTGCAATCTTAAAATAAGTGTGCAATTGCATGATACCAGGCCGTAGTCCAAGAGGTTTATTTGAAACCACAGGCTTTCAGAACGCTGCTCCTTCATCAGTGAAGTGACTTCAAATAAATCTGTTGGACTATGACCTGGTGTCATGTGACTTCTGACTTTGTCTACCCCAGTCCAACAGTGGCACTCCCACATGATTAAAATAAGTGACAACATTGGTAATCTTCAAAAGTTCCCTAGCTTCTTGAAAAGTTCCAACAGATCGGAAAGCCACAGGATAATACCTATATTCAAGGAAGGAGGAAGACAAAGCAGGAAACAATAGGTCAGTTAACCTAACACTTGGCATTGGGAAAATGCTGGAAACCATGATCAAGTAAGTTTAAAAACATCATGCATGATATTCATCATAACTGTGGTGAAGTGGATTGTAGTAGAAACCACATCTCGATTCAACCTTGTAACGTAATTAAGACTCAAGTGGTCTCAGTTTGAGTCATTAGCATGCTGATCTCTAATCTACAAATTTTAAGTTGCATTCCGGGCTTTTTTACACTCGGTCCAATCTTGACACTTTAAGATAATCCTTCAGGGGGGCACTACAATTTAGAGCTATGGTCTTTTGGATAAGAAGTTAAAAGAAATCTGCCTGAGATTGACCACCTTGGTTGTCAGTCTTTTGGCACATTTGGTTGCATAACGATAACAAATCCTCAAAATGTAATTTAATTATGCAAGCTCTAAGAATGTGAAAATACAAGTTAATTTTTTTCCCCACATCCTCAAAGCAACTAATCAATTAACCATTGTTCAATATTCTCAGAGATTATTTCAAAATATTTCAATTTTTTGATAAATTTTGAATCATGTTTTAACTGAACATGCTTAACTAATCTTATTAGAATTAATCTAAAATCTGAAAAGTATTTAGTCAAACTATTTCTGTTTTTTGCTGTGGAGTTTGGACATTTAATTCCAAGCTGTTGAGTACAGATATTTTATCACATGAACAGTGGCTCAGTGGTTAGAACTGCTGCCCCACAGCACCAGGGACGCGGGTTCGATTCCACCCTCGGGTGACTGTCTGCATGGAGTTTGCATGTTCTCCTTGTGTCTGCGTGGGTTTCCTCTGGGTGCTCCAGTTTCCTCTCCCAGTCCAAAGATTTGCAGGTTAGGTGGATTAGCCATGCTAAATTGCCCATAGTGTCCAGGGATGTGCAGGCTAGGTGGATTTCCCATGGGGAATATAGGGATAGGGTAGGGGCCTGGGTTTGTGCAGGGTGGTCTTCAGAGGGTTGGTGTGGACTTGATGGGCCAAAGGGCCTGCTTTCACACTTAAGAAATCTATGATAATGTAGGTCTTGCTCGTGAAATAAGTTCCCTCAGGCATTCAATGTGCATCATATCATGAAGGACAGTGAAATTTACTGTGATTGCATTTTTAAAATCTATTTGGCTTGGCTGATCGAATCTTCCAGGAATTATTTTACTTTGCAAACCAGTTTACCAATCTGAAAAGTGCTGTCGCTGAGAGATGGTGTTCAAGTAAAATAATTTGTTGCTGTCGTACAGATGAGGACAGTGTCATTAGATCCCAGCGTGTTTCACAGTTATTACCTACTTTTGAAGTGCACTCATTGTTGCCAAATGTGACATTTAACAAAGCTTACAAATCATAAACAAGAATAGCCAGGTAATCTTTCAACCCTTGCTTATCAGAAATCTACCTACCTCCACTTTCAAAGTCTTCAAAGTCTCTGCTACTGCTACCTTTTTTCTGGAAAAGAGTTCCAAAGACTTAATGACCCTTGGAGAAAAAATATTGCTTCATCTCTAAAATGGGTCACCCTGTTTCTTAATCAGTGACCATTGTTCTAGATTGCCTTAAAAGGAAAACTCCTCTCCACATCTACCCTATCAAGACACCTTGGGATTTTATGTTTCCATGAAATCACCTCTTACTCTTCTAAACTACATTGATTCAAGCTTAGCTCGTCTAAGCTTTCTCATAAGACAACAATCTTCTCATTTGCATCCTTAAACTGGGTGACCGGTACCGTGCAGTGTTCCAGATGCAGTCTTGCCAGGGCCTTAGCTGAAGGATAACTTTCAAATATTTGTATTGAATTGCATTTGTAATAGATTATAACATTTGTTAGCATTCCTAATTACTTGCTGTACCTGCATGTTAACCTTTTACAATTCATGAATGAGAACATCCAGATCCCCTGCTTCTGAGCTCTGCAATCTCTCACCATTTAGATAATGGCTTCTTTTTTATTCTTCCTGCCAAATAGGCAATTTCAGATATTCCATTCACCAAATCTTTGCCCATTCCCTTAACCTATCAATATCTTTTTATAACCACTTTGCCTCATCGCAACATACTTTCCTACCAATACTAATGTTGTCAGCACATTTGGCAGTCATACCTTCTGTGCCTTCATCCAAGTGTTGATATAAATTGTAACAGTTGGGGTACCAGTTGTATCCTTGTTGCACACCCCTCATTATCTTGTCAACCTGAAAATGATTCATTGACACCTATTCTCTGCCATCTGTTGTTAGCTAGCCATTCTTGTACTCCTACAACATGGGCTTTTATTTTACACAATATTCTCTGCTGTGGAACCTTATCAATGACTTCTGCAAATTTAAGTACAATACTTCCATCAGTTACTGTTTATTCTCATTGTGTTACTTCCGGAAAGAACGCTGGTACATTGGTTAAACATGATTTTCATTTCATAAAACCACATTGACTTTTCCTGAGTACCTTCAACTCTCTCAGGATCTCTGCTGTAACTTATTTAATAATAGCTTCTCACATTTCCCTTTGACAGATGTTAAGCTAACTAGCCTGTAGTTTCCTGCTTTATATCTTCCTTTTGGAAGAAGGAGTTAACATTCATGTGGTTCCAATCGCAATGGACTATCCCAAAATCTAGGCAGTTTTAAAAAAATTAAAGCAAATGCATCAACTATCTGACTAACCACTTCTTCTTTTAAGACCCTAGAATGAAATCCATCAGAACCCAGATGCTTGCGGCTCCAACAATTAATCATTCCATTTCCCTGGTGATGATGGTTTCCTTGAGTTCCTTCCTCCCTTCAATTTCCAAATTTACAGCTGCTCCTGGGATGCTATTTTATCCTCTCTCATGAAGACTCATGCAAAATACATATTCAGTTAATCTTCTGTTTTCTTACTGTATTATTAATACTCTGGTTTAATTTTCAATGGGACTGATGCTAACTTCATTAAACTATCCTCTTTTAGAGGTTTATCGAAATGCTTACAATCTTTATATATCTGTCTAGGTTTCTCTCAACTTTTTTTTTCTTTTGGTTTATTTTTTGCTAATTCTTTATTTCTCTTTGTATTATGTCCAGTCTTCTAATATACCGTTACATGTTGTCAGTAAATTCAGCAGTCATACCTTCTGTGTCTTCAGCTCAATAATTTATATAAATTGTAAACAGTTGAAGTGTAGATCTGAATTCTGTTGCATGCCCCCTCATTATATCTTGCCAACTGTTGACATTTAATACTATCTTTAATATTTCTAGTTAGCCACAGACGGTGGGTCTGTTGTTTGGAAGTTTTCTTGCTCGTTGGAACTTATCTATTCTGTGCATTCTGAAATATTCCCTTGAATGCATCACTGTTGGCATATCCTTTGATCTAATTTGCTGATGCACTTAGAATTGCCCTTACTTACATTTTATAAAGGTCTTGGACCCGCTCTTACCTCAAACTGAAATTTTTTGTTCATATTAAGCTACCTGGGGTATCTTCAATCTTGAGATTATTAAATAATCCTTGTCATTGCACAATATCAGGTGTAGTGTAGCCTCCTCTCTGGTCAGCTGCAGGACATGCTGTTCTAAGAAACAATTCTATGAACACCTCACCTAGGTTACCTTTACCCACCTGACATTTTCTGTTGATATAAATATTAAAATCTCCTGATTATCGCCATGCCTTTCTGTCAATCTCTCTCTTTATTTCTTTCTTTTATGCGCCGTCTGACAGTGTGGTTACTGTTAGGGGGCCTGAACGCCACTCTTACAGTGACTTCTTGCCTTTATAATTTTTCACTTCTATTCAGACTGTTCCCGCAATTTGGCTTCCTGAATTTATGTCATCCCTGTCTATCGTGCCAATGCAATCAGTAACTAGCAGCCACCCCTCCTCTGCTTCCTGCTTTCTTGTCATTCCTAAATATCCAGTTCCCTTCAAGATTCAGTTTGCAATCAATGTCATCCTGCATCCATGTTTCTGTCATGGTTATCAGATCATACCTATTAATTTCTAGTTGTCGTCTCAATTCATTTATTTTGTTTTGATGCTCCATGTGTTCAGTTGTGGAATCCTTTCATCCTTTTGCTGTCTATCTAGTTTTGTCTGTTTCTTAGATTCGTACTCTGTCACTTTGTGTCATGTTATGTTGATTATATTCCATATTTGTACTTTTCTCACTTGCCTTTATTCTACACAAACCAAGTGATTAGTCTTGCAATTTTTTGATAGATTCGAATGTGAATTATTGGGATTGCAAGTCTAATAGCAAAAGAAGGAAATGTGACCTAAAGAGTTCAGTTTAGATTTTATATTACTGAGTTCATTGTACTTTAAATATCTTTAACATAAATGACTGACTGAGAGATTATGTTTATTATTTACTATTTGAATGTTTCGTATTTACTATTTGAATCTTGAAATATCATGGATACTCTTTGATCTTAGGTCATGAAATTCTTTTGATTTAAACTTTCAACCTTGTTAATTCATTCTGTTAGTAAATATCTGGAATTTTTGCTTCTTAAAAAGAAAGCACGTTACCAGTCCTTGTGGAGATTGTAACAATTGCATAATATAACCCCAGTTGACCAAAAGACTCTGTCAAAAGCCTTTGTTCTTTCAATATTTTATGCACTGGAGTTCATGAAGAGTGTTCAGACTTTCAGAGCAGTGGCAATAATCTTTGTCTAATTAAAAACACACTCCATAATTTTGAGAATCTCTCTCGTTGATTTGTGTTTCTGCTCTACTTGAGTCAAAGATCTCTAGATTTAAAACTAATGAGTTACCTTCATGAATGTATTTAGTACTCTCTATAGCTCCATGACATTTTTCATAAAATGGGGCATCCAAGATGCAATGACTGATCTAAGCAATGATTGCAGTTAGGTTTATTGTTACATCTTTGCTTTGGTGCACGTTGAATCTATTTATGAAATTTAGTACGCTGCCTACTTTTTAAAAAGTTCTACCAACTTGCCCTCTTTCTTTTGAAAGACTTGTTTACCAAAACCCCCCCAAGTGTGTCTTTGCACTTCACTCTTTTAAGTGACCTGCAGTTTTACTTCTTAAATCTTTCCAGTTTGCAGTCATACATTAGCTGCTTTTTTTTCTATCCATTAGCTATCTTTCGATTGTCATGTTGCTAGTGAGGTCGTAACTCAATGTTTAGACCTGTGGTAGACATGCCAGCCACGACCAGGAGACTCTTGACACCGTAGCTTACACTGATTTGAAGAAAATCTCCAATAGGTACCTTTTGTTTTTGCTCAGTGTTTTGCACCCTCCTTTCAATGCCTCAGCAGTGCCAAGGTGTACACACAGCGATTTAGTCTTCCTTTGTATCCTCTTTTACTTGAAAATGTCCCCAAATTAAGGAGTAGAATCCCACACTTAGCTCAGCTTCAGTAAAGGCTGATGCCTTTGCCTATTGCTAATTTGATTGTCCCTGAACCTTGAGTGTACTTAACACAAAACGCCTCACAAATAATCTGGCCGCCAAGAAGATGATGTGGTACCTTTGAAAATAAACACACAACAATCTTCATTGCATCTTACAATTGGAACATATTTGGTGCTTCCATTGGATACAGTCTTACATCACATTTGTGGTGTAATGAATCAACCTGTGCCTTGATTTATTGTAGATCAGGTCTTCCAAAAGTGGACCTCCAATAGGGTAATGATCTGAAATTTTGGAACAGCAATATTTAACCTCCCCTCCCTCCACTTCCCCCTACTGTAATAGGTCTTCTCCTCCACCACCACCACCACTCATTGAAGTGCTGCGCCTGTTATTAAGACTCAAAATGGGGTAACAGTGGGAAAAAGTTTAGGAAGCACTGATGAAAATTTATTGGGAAGCTATTTTACCAAATACTCATTACATAGATGCACTAGAATTCAGTGCAATTATGTTAATTTGGTATGATGCAGTTTTGGTAAGTGCAATATGATAATACTGAGCAATACCAGTTTCAACCCCTTTTTTTTGTTCAGCTATCATGTTATTTTATCACCTCGGTTTGAAAAGTCACAGTCAGTTTGAGTCTCATTGTCTCCTACTGTGTTTTAAATTTTGGTTGTTTATTTCAAAACAAATAAAGGAAGAAAAACTGCCTGTCTTTATTCATTTCACTCATTCTTAGTTTCAAGTAGTGTGACTTGGGTGAGTGAGCTGTCTCTTGTTCTAAAAGTTAATTTTAAATCTTTGTCTGAATTGTTGCACTGCCTGCCATGTAAGCTTTCCACTCAAACTTTGGTTTTGTTTCCACGTCTTCACTATCTGTGCTTCAGAATCTTTTATGGTCTCATCCCAACAGTCCAGCTGGTTCAATTCCTGTTTCCTTGTCCTGAAGGCTGAAAACATGAATAAGACCGGCACTGATATAGCTTTTTCAATTTTGAGACACCTCAATGTTACAATGCACAGTCTGTGGCTATGCGGTTCTACTGCAGACTTACTGGAGCAGCATGTTAATTCCAAGCAGTTTCTGGATATGATTCCTCCTTTGACGGCATCCATTGCTTCCTCTGTTCCTCACCACAATGCCATTTGTGTGGAGCTGATAGTTTTTCTTTCTCCACCTTGAGGATCAAGGCTGACAGCTTGTTTTGACTGTACCTCCTTTATTCATAGAAATAAATATTAAACAATTTCTGTAATTTTCTTTGGGTAAGTTACCCAATTGTATCAGACCTTTTATTTTGATGTACTTTAATGGATTCAAATGTGACTATTTCCCTGCTATGAAACAACATTTATGCCTAATCTGAAATCTCTCTCATTCTTTACAGCTCAAGAAAAATGGCTTTAGGAAAAATGGTTTTCAATTGAAGAACCAGTGTACAGCTTTACATTTCGCCCATTGGAGAGGCTTTTTCAGTACAGGACTTCATGAAGCATCAGATTCTGAAACTAGCAGTAGTACCAATTCTGATGATGACGCTTAAACTTGGTACAAGTGGAATTCATGTTATATGTTTTCTTATAGCTGGAGGACTAAACTTACTAAAGCTCTTTTGGCACAGAGTTATATTTTTCCAAGCACAAGGGAGTTGATCATATCCCAAAGAAGAAAATTTGCTTGTTGAGCTTTTTTCTTTATTTCTTTGACCAGCTGGTCCTGTTGAACGCTTCGTAGAATGAAATATGAGTCAATAAAGAAGAAAAGGGGCAAAGCACATTGAGTAATCATTTTCAAGGAAAAAATGTGGGGTTTTTTGAAAGCTTGGAAAAAAAAACATTTGCAGACAATTAGTAGGAATAGCAGTACAATAGAAAAAGCAGTGTAAGAGACAAATTCAAAATACTGATGATAGTTGTCAAGAATAATGCTAACTACAAACATTTTTCAATGTCGTGACATTTTGAGAAAAAGAAAATAAGATTTGTCACCAGAGGTTTATCTCCATTTCTTTGGTACAGTTGTAAAATATTCACAATAGGAGCTTTGAGTCTTCAAACAACCTTGATATTCAGGGTGGAATGTAAAATATAAATTTTGTGAAATTTCAAAGATTAAGATTATTTTGATAACGTTATTTACAAATTTAAAAAAAGTGGCTATCACATATGAATATCTGTACAAGAAAAACTACTGCATTAAAATAACTTGGAATAAATATTTTGCATCAGTTTGCCAAAATTGTTGATGTTGTAATTTTTGAACTTTTTTATGAAGGATTGTTTTATATTTTATGAATGAAATGTTTATAATCGAAACATTTACTACAAGGAAAAACAGTCTGTAGTATAAACCTAAGCTGATAGTCAGCCAACTATACATAAATATAAATGTTCCAAGATCATCTGTTGTTCAAAACTGCTGTCTGCAGCTTCAAAACAGATTTGGTATCAGGAATACTTGGCTTACATTTTTAGCTTCAGCCATCGTGTGAAGCGGGAGCTGGCAACAGTCCACGGTCTCTTTCATAATGTCGTTGAAGCTGAATTTGGTATGGGGTTGTGTGTTTTATACATGGAAGAGCTGAATATAAAATTAAATACAACAAATTAAAATCTAGGAGATAATCTTTGAAAATAATTTGATATCTGGCAGTCCCTCTTTAAAGGCATCTTTTTAGGAGCGTCTTAAGGTAGATTTGATTCTTGGAACAACCACTGGGGGAAGTGAACAGTACAGGAATTGCTGAAATCTTTTGAACACCTTTTTCTTTGTTCTTTAAATGCTAAAACAAAATACTGTGTTCTAATTCTAAATTTAAATGCAGTAGGCATTATGTGATTTCCTTTAATGTCATCTTTGCTACAATTGTTAATGTGCTGAAACATTGTTGCATTCAATTCAGTAAGATGACAATGTCCCTTTAAAAAGTCATTTTAATTTTTCAAAGATTAACTTGTCATATCAGAGTGCCCTGCCCTCCTACAGTTTCCTAGCAACAATCAAAGCGATCATTCAAACCAAACAACTAACTGCCTCAAAAAATGCAAAACACCTAAATGGGAGATACATTAGACAAAATGTAAAATATACAACGTTTTGACCACTTCAGTAACAGGTTTGTTACAGAAAAAATTTAGAATCAACATGCTCGTGAAGAAAAATGATTTTATATCGCATTTTGTGTACAAGGTTTTTGCAATGTGATGGTTGTTAAGGATTTTGAATGTTGACGTTGTCAAGTTGACATCTGAAGACAGTTTAAAGTAACACCTAGTTAGAGTTAATTGTAGAAACTGTAAGTGACATGTTTATTTTTGTTACTAACTATGTTGATGCTACTTAATTTATGTATTTTGGTTATTTATCGGTTGTGGGAGAGACCATACATATTGGAAATTTAAATCTCTAAATACTGCAAGAAGGACAAAGTCTCCAGATCAAAAAATGTGTTTAAAAAGTAATTGTTCATGTTACAAAGGGAAAAATGAATTCATGCTTATGGTAATATGCCCTGTTAATTGTTGTGAAAATTTGAAAACTTACCTGCACTTGTACAGGTATTTGAGTTGGAATTATACCAAGTTTTTGTTTAAACTGAAGGACTAAGGATTACTTCGGCTTCAGTATGGATGTTGGGAATTTCCACTGTGACAACTGTAATATGAACTTCAGATCTTTAACACTATTAGAAAAACACAAAGACAAGTTCTGCATTGGCAGTTATGCTGAAGATTCTTACTTATTAACTACAAAGTCAAGAGATTGTCGACCTAAAAGTCCTGCATATGGAATTAACAGATGGAGAACAAATGACCCAAAAGAAACAAAAACTCCATATAATATGGTAAGGATAATATCTACCTAGAGATTTGATCTATACAGGTAGGATTTGCATCAGCGCTGGTTTACAAATTTTAGATTCTTCTTTTCAAAGAATTTTGAAGTTTTGATCATCCTCCAAACCTTTTTTGTACATGTCTGCTAGCTGCTAGTTCCCAGTTTCTCCTTGGGCATTGTGTCTTTCTGTATATTCTTTTGTATGCACTTGTCTTCTTAGAGATTTGTCACTTTGCTTTCTGTTTTGCAAAGTACTTTACTGTGAATATAGAGGTTTGTATTACAGACAGAACTCCGAGTAACAGGCCTAAAATTATAAATTACATACAATGAGAAAGGACTCCTAGCTAATAAATGCAGCAAGAAAATTGATCTCGGATGGCAGACTGCCAGGATAGATAATCCATCAATTATCCAAGGTTTACAAAATATGGGAAGACATGGAAATCCTCAAACAAGCTTTGAAATAATAAAATGATTAAAATTCATTTTTCCATTTAGAGTCAATGGGAATATAGTATAAATGAAATACATGTTGAAATATAGTAGTTTAAAAACACAAAGCATGCAATCTACAACACAGCTCATGGCTTTCTTTAGTGTTAGAAAGCAGCGTAGTGTACAAACTATTTTGCATCTCACTTGGATGCACCTTCCAGTTCTCGTGCAGTGGATTTGTCTCACTTTAGTGTATCCTGTTCAAAGACTCTTCAAACTTAGTCTGAGTCTTACAATGGCAATGCGTTAATGTGTAATGTGTGCCATGTGTTGAGAGAAGGTAGGTGGGCTTTCACATCATGAGTTTCTGCTTCTATTCAGCTCATTTGAACCTAATCCCAGAAGAATATGGAAATTGTCAGGTCGTGGAGCTGCCAATATGACATTTCTATTCAAAGTGACAAAGAGGATACAGGATGCAAAGTCCTATATGTAACAGTAGTATTGAATTAGAGGCTCAAGATAATGCTCAGAATGTACAGATTCATATCCCACCATGGCAGCTATTGAAATTTATATTCCACTAATAGGTAAACTCCATTATTAAAACTGGAATTCAACTCATCTCAGTAATATTGACAGTAAGGTATAGAGCTGGATGAACACAGCAGGCCAATCAGCATCATAGGAGCATTAGCCTGCTGTGTTCATCCAGCTCTACACCTTGTTATCGCAGATTTTCCAGCATCTGCAGTTCCTACTATCTCTGATACAATTTTGACAGTGATAGGTTTAAAAGACAATCTGGTTCACTATCCATTTGGGAAGCAACTCTAATTTTTAGCTGGTCTCAGAATGTTTCAATTGAAACAGTCTCCGGGACACTTCAAGGCAATGCATTCCAGGCCTGAACCACTTGTGTGAAAAAAGTTTTCTCATTTTAATTCTACGCCTTCTCATGTTTGATCCTCGCATAAGCAGGAACAGTTTGTCCCGAAATATTCTATCCACCTGCCTCATAATTCTGAAACTTGAATCAAGTCTCTTTATGGCAGCTTCCTACATGAGGAGAATGGTTCCAACCTCGCCAGTCTAACTTCATAATCTCTTCTGCAATCTTTCAAATATATTCACATTGTTTCTAAAGTGTGGTGTCCATAACTGCACATAGTAATCTGGCTGATGGATAATGTGTGTATTATAGAAGTTCAGTAAAACTTTCTTGCTCTTGTAATCAATGTTCCTATTAAAAATGCCAGGATAATATGCTCTACCAGTTGGTCTCTTCACCAGTCCTGTCACCTTCAGTGATCTGTGCACGTATGTACCCAGACCCCTCTGCTTTTGCACACTCTGTAGAAGTGTCCTTCATGTGTTGTATTACCTTGTCCTTGTTCATCCCAGCAGAATGCATCATTTACTACTTCTGTCCTGTCCTTATCTAGGCCCTTTATGAAGTTTTACACTGTCCTCTTGATGGTTTGCAATGTTTCCAAGTTATGAACCATCTGCAAACTTGGAAACTGTCCCTGCGTGTCAAAATCTACATTTAAGGTTTTGGAGTAGATCTGTAGCTCGGGTTGTGGATGTTGAGGTTGGTTGGTTAGCCGAGCTGATTTGTTGTTCCGCACACGTTTCGTTACCATGCTTGGTAACATCCATAGTGCAGCCTCTGATGAAGCGTCGGTGTGTTTTCCCGCCTGGTTTTTAAACTCTGGGGTCCGTTGCAATGGATTGCCTCACTTCCGGGTTTCCTCGGTAGTGGAATGTATATGGGGTCGAGTTCAATGTGTTTATTAATAGCCTGCTTCGTGGAGTGCCATGCTTCCAGGAATTCTCGTGCTTGTCTCTGCCTAGCCTGTCCCAGGATCTTGGTGTTGTCCCAGTCGAAGTCGTGGTTCTCCTTGTCCATGTGGATTGAGATGAGTGAGTATTGGTCCTGTCTTTTTGTAGCCAGTTGTTGTTCATGTACTCTTGTTGTTAGTTTCCTTCCTGTTTGTCCGATGTAGTGTTTCTCGCAGTCTCTGCAGGGAATCTCGTAGATGACATTGGTCCTGTCCATGGCAGGGAGTGGGTCTCTGCCCTTCCGCAAATTCAACCTAAACTATGGATATTCTACAGAGACGACACCTTTTGTCATCATTAAACAGACCAAACTAGAAGAGACACACAAACTCATAAATAACACCCTCACCGGAATAAAATTCACCAGAGAGGAGGAGAAGAACAAACAACTCCCATTCCTGGATGTCATTGTAGAGCGCAAGACAAATGGGGAACTGCAAACCAAAGTATACCAAAAAGCCACACACACAGACCAGGTATTGAACTTCAATAGTAACCATCCCAACACACACAAATGAAGCCGCGTGCGAACGCTATTTAAAAGGGCAACAACACACTGCAGCAACATAGCACTACACCAAGAGGAGGAGGAACCTCTCTTCCAAGTGTTCAAGGATAATGGATATCCAAAGAACTCTGTCAGGAGATGCCTACAAGACAAGCATCAGAAAGATTCTACACGCCCTGACACACACATCACACTACCCTACATCAGGAACATGTCAGAACTCACTACAAGACTTCTATAACCACTGGGCATCAGAGTGGCACACAAGCCCACATCAACCCTATGACAAGTGCTCACCCGAACTAAAGACCCACTCCCCACCATGGACAGGACCAATGTCATCTATAAGATCCCCTGCAGAGACTGCGAGAATTCCTGGAAGCATGGCACTCCACAAAGCATGCTATTAATAAACACACTGAACTAGACCCCGTATACGTTCCAGTACGGAGGAAACCCGGAAGTGAGGCAATCCATTGCAATGGACCCCAGAGTTTAAAAACCAGGCGGGAAAACACACCGACACTTCATCAGAGGCTGCACTGAGGACGTTACCAAGCACGGTAATGAAATGTGTGCGGAACAATAAACCAGCTCGGTGAGCCAACCA